AGCCTACTTATTCTTTATGTGTATTAATGGTGTTCGCGCAGTTGTGTGATAAAAGGTGATTTAAAATCTCCTCACTTCACTATATCCAGTACCCACACTAGCAAGCACGATATTTTAAAGCATTTCAAAATATGGTAACATACTTACCTAAGAAGTTTTGTATTTTAAAATAAATTTGGTTTTTGTTTTAATATAAAATAATATTTATAAAGATTTCAAAAAATTCTGATGCTGTCTAGACTAGCTTTTATAACTATAACTAGCAAAGACTCTTATATTGTAAAGCAGTAATTAAAACTCTCATACACATATGTTAATCAGCAGGCTTAGACAAGATGACATTCTACCATTGTTTACACTAAATAAAATCTTATAATTAAATTTGTATCAAATAAAAAATACATTTATTGTTGATTTTTTTAAAAACCGCTCGACCGATTTCTAAAAAAATTTATATGGGACCAAGTATATACTCCAAATCGGTTCAGGCGTCTTCGAGTAATCGGTGAACATACATAAAAAAAAATTGCCGACAAATTGAGAACCTCCTCCTTTTTGGAAGTCGGTTAATAATCATAATATTTCAAATACAACATATATAAATCAATAAAAATATTTGGTTGAAATATTTCAGTAACATTGATAAGTTGAAATAAGCCAATGACTCAAAACTAAGACATAATACACATTTGTGGGGAAAGGTCTTTCCCAACAATTAGCACCGCATCACTCAATGTCTGACCGTCTTGAGTGCTACCCAAGGCGTGAAGGTGTTTATTATTTATATAGCGACCTACGACATATGTCACCACTTATATAAGTCACTTATGTTTGACGACACGTTTGGCTCAGTTTGTAGTGACCCTACATGCTGCGCCAGCGGTCGCGGGTTCGAGTCCCTCTAGGGGCATTCATTTGTGAGATGACGAATGTTTGTACTCCAGTCATGGGTGTTTATATTTATAATATGTATGTATTTAAAAGTTATATATGTATAATATATCAACTATCCGGTATCCATAACACAAGCCTCGTAGCTTACCATGGAACTAGATGGCGCTGTGTGTTAATGTCCTAACATATTTATATATTTATTTATATGTATATTCGTAAAATGTACTAAGAGTTATAAGTACACAATTTTTATTACAAATCATAATTTACGATATAATTTAAAAAAATCATGTCCTTCTCATATGGTTTATAAATACGTATTGTTTATTTTAATAACAAAGTTAGTTAGACCTTAACAAACAGGAAGAACGTAAAATAAAAAAATTGTGAAATATTACAGCAATTCGAAAATATTCTCCATTGTTGTAAAAGTAAAAATTTTACATGTCTTTCTGTTATACATACCTCTCTACCTCTGACTAAATTATATTTTTTAATTTCTCTTTTATAAAAAACTTTAAAGTATTATTCTACTTGTATTCAGTCCTTTTTAACGTCCTGGGCACGAGCCTCCCTTCATTACAAGGGCAAGTAAGGGTAGATGGGATTCACATGTCTTTTGAAAACTAGTTAAGTCCCCATAGACCTACAGGTTTCCGCGATGTTTTCCTTCATAGCGTAATCATCTTATCGCGTTTCATCACTTCACTTACGTTCTTTTTAACTTTAGAAAATACATTTACAAATTCCTACATACAAGTTATGTGCGACTCACCAATACTACCAACTAAAATACAACGAAACCTCCCCTGTCTTAATATGGTATCCCCTGACACCCTGCCACGACGCAATGCCCCGATGGCAGGCCTGTCCTAACAAATTATTATAACCAAAGGGTTGCACGATCCGCTCTGCTATCAGTAAAGTACCAGGACCAACATGTATAGTAACTTATTCATTCACTAATGAGGTCCACTAATGAGCCTACCACAAGGTGGAAACTCATCAGAGGGGAGTACCGCGCACCTAAAGCATTATAATTCAAATTAATTTCGTTAAGTGTATTAGTTTGAAATTAGATTTGTCCATGTAAAACAAAGATCATATAGCTACTATAACTTCAATTTTCACGCCGCAGAGGTTCTACCTGTCTAAACCTATTTACCAGGACGTCTTAGCATCCAACTCGCCAGTCTCGGTGATAGAGAGGTCCCCCTAATCACCCCCTAACCCCAACCCATTGTAGATAGAGTCAGTTTCAGATTGTTAAATACTATACTAGCGACTCACCCTCGCTTCGCTCGGGTTCTTCCCTAACTTGCTTTCCAATATAAACTTTCATCCCCATTTTCACCCCCCTTTAAGGGATGATTTCCGTTATAAAAGTATCCTATGTCCTTCCCAGGGTCTCAAACTATCTTCTTACCAAATTTCATCTAAATCGGTCCAATCCAGAGATTACCCCCTACAACGTCACAAACTGACAAACTCACAAACTTTACCTCTTTATAATATTATAGTACAGATTATGATCAAACATGTTATGACTAAATCATGAGACACATACTTTTATAGGATAAGTATTTAATCCGAACCAAAATTGAATGTTCGACTCATCATAATATTAATGTATAATACTTTCTTAGATTTACGCGAATATTTGACATTTTAAATAAAACTCTCTTTTCGGATTTTGTCGCGGATTTATTTGCATTTTTGTTTCCCAGCGTTTCGAATGCTTTACAGCATCCATGGTCACGGGAGAGACTGAGGTGTTACATGTCTTGAAGGTATAGTTGTTACAGACAGCCTACCCACAATTAACAAAATGAAAATTGCACCAATTACATTACAATATTTTTTAACTTTAAACATTTTTATAATTTTAATTATAAATGAATATGGAATATTATTTATTTAATTTTTGCTATTATTTTTATAATATTCACAATTTTAAAAATATTAATTAGTAATCTATATTTAGTGTTGCCATTATTATATTTATAGCATTCGAAACGTCGGGAAACAAAAATGCAAATAAATCCGCGTCAAATTCCGAAAAGATAGTTTTATTTAAAATATATTAATTTATTAATATATTTAGTATACTTTATAGACGACTATATATTGTATGGTATCGTATATAATATGGGGTCATCGTTATATATCAAATCAAGTATGTAAGATATTACGGCAATATGCCTTTAATGTTATATAATCAGGTACATTTCACTCGAATCCAGGTCAATCTTGCAAAGAAAAGAGTGCGGCAACTATCTTAAATTAGACTAATTAGGTGAAAATCATTATTCGAATCTAGTCAAAAGAGAGATGAAGTGCCTAATTAGTGGTTAAAACTGAATAATTGAAAACTACTCTATTATGAGCATTTTATTCCTCATAAACCAGGGAGAAATAAAACGTATGCATTTACCACGTATTTAAATGGAAATTTTGAATGAGAATAACATCCACGTAATCAAAATAGATACATACAAAAAGTTATTTAATTAATTTTGATATTTATATGCCTACCTAAAAATCACTTATTTACATAATGAGTTAGGGTTATCTATACTATTCTATATTCTATTCAGCCCTTTTTAATGTCCCACTGCTGGGCACGGGCCACCCTTCAATACGAGGAGGATCAGGCCATAGTCCACCACGCTGGCCAAGTGCGGGTTGGCGGACTTCACATGTCTTTCGAAAACTTGTTAGGTTCTCTGAGACATGCAGGTTTCCTCACGATGTTTTCCTTCACCGTAAGGCAAGTGGTAATCATGTTAGAAATGATTCGCACATGAAAATATCGGAGGTGCGAGACCCGGGATTTGAACTCGCTTCACTCGGTTTCCCAAGCGAGCGCGTTACCACTGGGCTACTATACTAATATATTTTATTATACTAATATTTTGGCATAAATGTGAAAGTGTGTTTGTTTGTTTGTCTTTCTTTTACGCCGAAACGGAGTGACGGATTGACGTGATTTTTTTGTGTGGAGATAGTTGGAATGCTGGAGAGTGACATAGGCTACTTATACTTACATTATTTTACGACGGGAAATAATCTCATTCCCATGGAAAAACACGTTATGCAACCCAAAAATTATTTACGTTCAGGATTACTTGAAACTTATTAATAACGCTCTTCAATACGATTAAATAAATATGTGTTTTAGTATTTTTTGAAATTTATCCCATAAGTGGGTAAAATAGGGGATAAAATTTGTATGAAACATACTTTTTTAGAGTTTTTCTGTAATTTTAGCGCGAACGAAGCCGCGGATTCTGGTAGTTATAAATAATTAAAATGACAGTACAAACGGTGAGAAATATATATAAAACTTTTCTCTATCATGAAACTAAAAGTAATTTAACTTGATAAAAGTACTATTTGCTAAACTAGTGTGTTTTACCGCGCCGTGTGCTACTAATAAAATATTCAGTTATTCGCATTCTGAACTTTTAGTTCAGATATAATTTACGCTATTTTACAAATTAGAAAAGTTTTAAACGGTTCATTTAGGAATAAACAAAAAAAATATTAAATCCTTAGTTAAAAAAACGGTAATTTTTACGAATAATTATCTCGTCATTTAACTTGTACATAGTATTATTCAAGTAATTTTTTACCATAGAAAAGTTTGACTTCTACCTTGTTATGAACTGTTGTTTAATAATAGCAGATAGATTGTTATCTCGCTTTTTCCTTCACTACTGGCAAAACCCTCTAGTTAAAGTTCTGTAAAGAAAAGTTAGTTTTTAACGAGCAGAATTAAACTGTTCTCTCAGATAGTTAATGCAGAGATGAAGTTAAAAATAGTACTTTAAAGTTGCTAACGTATCCATATGAGTAATGGCTTAAAATGTTTAAAATATTACATCATTGGTTTTCTATATTATGTATGTATATATATACTTGTATGTACGTCTAGAACCAATAAAAATATAGCTTTTCCTGAAGATAGGTTGTTACTTTAAGTAGTGTCATTATATTACACTACAAACTAAAAGTTTTACTATTACGTTGCTATCAGTTTAAATGTACAAACGAATAATGAAATAATAGCAAAAGAATACAGACGACATTTTAAATTAAACAAAATGAAAGATTACCTTATTTTTAAGAAAATCTGTAAAAAGATATTTTTAATTGGTTCAGGAAATTTCTGGTACATAGATGGAGAAATTGGTGATGATAATGATATTCTTTATAAAATATTAAATTACACTTTACTTCTGGTCTACGTATTAATGACTTTGTTAGAAATAATGGCTGCTCTAATTGGTGACTTTCCTGAGGACGAGAAAAGTGATTCGGTTACGTTCGCAGTGAGCCATACAATTGTAATGATAAAAATATTTTCTGTTATATCGAATAAAAAATTAATAAAAAAGTTGATCCATGATCTTATAAAAGTTTGCGAGGTTCACGAAGAGGAATGTTTAATGGAGGAAAAATACAGGATTATGAAGATCAATGTTATCGCTTACATTGTAACTGTGTACGGCTCAGCCGCTTGTTTTGTATTTGAAGGCCTAAGAAAGATGTTTGACGGTATGTAGGTAAATCTCGTTTGATTTATTTCACTTCTTGGATAAATTAAAAAATAATGATGATGATGTGATGTTCTCCTAGCCGATTCCAGCCACGGCGGCCAATCTCATTCAGACTAACCAACTGCGCGGGAGATATTATAGTGCACAAGTGTACGCGCAGACACAACGTGCACTCTCTATTCCTGTCACTCTCATAGTCCGGTGGGATGACACGAGACACGACCAGTGAGAGTTAAGGCGCAGGACCGACGTCTTTACGTGCTCTCCGAGGCACGGGGGTGAAACACCGCCAACTTCCTAACTTCGGGCTATTAATGAGACTTACTATACAGAAAGACTCAATAACTAAACTTGGCCCGACCCGGGACTCGAACCCAGGACCTCCGAGTGTGCAGCCGTACATGCTAGCCACTACACCACCGAGGCAGTTTAAAAAATAATAATAATATATATTAAACATGTTAAATTTAAACATTTCAGGTTCTCATTTCGTTACAGTTGTAACATACTATCCACTTTTTGAAGATAACTCTTTTTTAGCCACACTATTGCGAATGTTTATGACAATTATTCTGTTTATGATGCTTATAACTATGATAGTAAGCGTGGATGGCTTTACTGTGGTCAATCTTATAATGTATAAGTACAAATTCATAACACTTAGAAATTACTTCGAAAAATTAAGACGAGAATTTGATGAAGCTCTTAAAAATCAGAAGTCTAGATTAGCTGCAGAAAGATTATCAAAAGGTCTCATTGAAGGCATTATAATGCACAAGGAACTTTTAAGGTTTTTATTTTTAGTTTACATCTATAATAGTCTATATAAAAATGTTAACGTTAGTTTGTGTAAAAACGTAAATTTTCGAAAACTCTTCGCAGATTGCTTCACGAAGTGTTATTACATGGAGGAGAAGGTTTTTTTTCTATTTATTGAAACCACCAAAAATTGACACACATGGTTATTTGAGTACAGAAAAAAAAGTTATAACATAAGTGATATCAAAAACATAAATTAATATAAACAGCCAAAATCTATTTGACCATTTGATATATATACATATTTATTTTAATCATTACAGGCTTTCAAAAGAAATTGATAAAGCATTTGGAACCGTTATGGCCTTGCAATTATGTCAAAGTTCTGGATCCGCCGTTTCTCTATTACTCCAAGTAGCAGTGAGTACTAATGACTACCTGATATATATTTGCTATACACTTTCTATGTACCTTGGTCACGCTAGAATATAATATTATCATGTATATCATGTATATCCATACTTTCATAGTCAATATTATAAATGTGTGTTTGTTTGTTTCTTTGTTTGTCCTTCTTTCACGTCGAAACAGAGTGACGGATTAGCGTGAATTTTTGTGTGGAGATCGTGTGGGAATACTTTTTCCGCAGGAGATTGTCTCATACCCACCGGAAAACACGTTATAATACAGCCCACAACAACTCATCATACCTATTATATGTATATATAATACATGTATATGATGTAAATTAATATATGATAAGATAAAAATTAAAATTGTATTGCATGTTTTGATTTAATAAAAAATAAATGACTACATTGTCATTACATTATTAAGGAAATAAAGAGGCTTTATTATCTATACTAACATTATAAAGAGGTACCTAAAGTTTGTGAGATTGTGAGGTTTGTGAGTTTGTGACGTTGTAGAGGGTAATCTCTGGATCTACTGAACCGATTTAGATGAAATTTGGTAGGGTTGAGAGCCTAGGAAGGACAGGATACTTTTTATACCGGAAATCATCCCTTCAGGAGGTTAATATGGGGATGAAAATTAGATTTGCGAAGCAAGCTAGGGACGAACCCGAGCGAAGCGAAGGTGAGTCGCTCGTTATAATATAATATAAAGTCTATCTATTTCATACTAACCATTAAAACATACCTAGAGACGGAGCCGGGCAAAGAGAGGATGAGTCGCTAGTATATCATAATTATGTACATCTGTTTTGTTAAGCTTTCAGATCAACTAACGCTTGTAGCGAGTATGAAAATAATATTCTTCGTGGTTGCTTTATTTTTGTTACTGGGAATTTTTCTTTGCAATGCGGGAGAAATAACCTATCAGGTAATTATATAATTATGTATAGAACATAATATAAGTATGATGACCTTCTTCTCCCTGCCCATTTCCCAATCACTTGCGGTCGGCGCAGTACATCTTCAGTACTGCTGAAAGGATTTGGCAAAAGTTTTACGACCGGCCGCCTGCCTGACGTCAACCCTCCTTGGGAATGCTATTGTCTCTCTTCGTCTGAATGGTGTCGCGGAAGTCTTGTTATTATTATGCACTTTCAATTTTGTTGTCTTTTAAAACATTTTTATACTATTACATATTTTTTTAATTTTCGGTTATATTTTAAAATAAGTATGATGACCACTATACTTCATTTTAAAGTGTCGAGTAAAACCAGTTCTAAACTAACTCCCTGATAAAGCAAGTCATGTTTAGTTATTGTGAACAAAATAGAAATATAACCGTGAGCAGAAGCTGATATACAATATTTATTCCAATTAAATTCTAAATACAGATGATAATTATGATTTTATTTATATATATTTTATTTATAACACAATGACAGGCCTCCTTGCTATCGGACTCAATTTTCTACTGCGGCTGGCACTTATGTCCATCTCAATTTCCACAACGACGCAATCTCGGGCAGCTCGTGCTCCAAGCTTGCGCTCAGGCTCAGCGACCACTCATCATGAAGGCTTTTAAGATGCTAGAGCTAACTTACGGAACGTTCCTTTTGGTATGAATACTATAAAAAATTAATTCATTTTATAAATTACATTAATTTACTATTCATATTTCTTTTCCAGGTCGTTAGAGGAACTTATTCAGTGTTTGCATTATTTTATGCGCAAAACCAATAGAGTTTCGTGTATTTTAAGTGAACACACATTTTCTCCGATGTATTTAATTACGTTTAGCAACATTTCTAAATATGAACTATGGCATTTAGTAATCCAGAGCGATGAATATTTAATATCAAAATTTTGCAGTCAGAAGCATCTTTTATTGCACATGTGTAGGCATTTGCGCGTTTTTGCACATCGTACTTAAAAGACATTTGAGACATTTAAATTAACAACAATACTTTCCTACATGGATTTCGGTTTCGGCAGCCAATCTCACTGAGGGTAACCAACCAAGCAGAAGATATTAGATATACGTAGTAGACAAGTGTATACATAAAAAATGCACTCTATATCTTCTACTCTCATATTTCAGTGGGATGACAATTCGATACAATCGGTGAGTGTTAAGGCACAAAACTGACAGCTTTACATGCTCTCTGAGCTATGAAGGTGCAGTACGCCGCCATCTTAAAATCCATCCAATCCACAAAACCTTAATTATATTATTATAAATAAATTATATTGATTATAATAATATATACTTGGTATTACACGAAAAAAATCATATGCTTGTACATATTTTATGTAAGGTAAGGTATGGCAGATGATTTTATTCATCAGTAAAGTATTTATCTGAGCACGTAAACATGTAACGCAGGTCACGCACAAACGTATATAAAATGAGATCGTCGATCCCGATAACTCACAACAGCTTATCAAGTTAGGATTTCTGTACCACATGCAAATACTGAATATTTCAATATTACGCATTGCGTGTTAGCAATAGGCTGCTTCATGAATAAATGATGTTCTAACCTAAGAGGTATGATATATGCCAAGAGAATGATTTCATTTCACGTTATATTTAGATATACTCGTAGAACCCACAGGGATGCTTTTTAGATAAAAGCGCGTTGGAATGTAAATATTATACTCCTCAACAATATATTTTCCTATATTTAAAGAGAATAATGAGAACAGTAAATAGCTCACGATATCTTTTTTAATTTTGGTTAAAGTATAAACCTTTTGGAACATATTTAAATATATTATTTTATTGAATACTACAATTGACTATTTTTACAAGCTTTTATTTAACTTGCATGTTTGTTAGTTGGTATGGTTGTATGTGTCAAATCTTGCATTATGAATTAGAACCCATTCCTATTACCATACCGATTTAAAGTTTAAAGCGCTGGTTCATTTCCGACGACAATGATTTTTTATGATAATAATGACCTGATTGATTCTTAATCTAAGATTGGCTCCAGATGAAATGACTCCTCAACGGTTAAAAGTTCAGACACTATATTTTGTACATGTATTCAAATAAAACTATCTTTTCGGATTTTTTTGCGGATTTATTTGGATTTTTGGTTTCCGACGTTTCGAATGCTTTACGGCAATCATAGTCATGGGAGAAAGAGAGATGTCTCCGAAAAAATCCGAAAAGATAGTTTTATTTAAAATATCAAATATTTGCGTAAATCGAAAAAAGTATTACACGTATTCAATTATAATAGCCCCTTATAAAGTGGTTCATGGCCTGGTTGCTGACATCACCCGTCCATCCATCGAGGGTGTGAGAGATCTCCTCAGCAGTCAACGGCACAAAAACGAAATTTTGTATAGGCATTCAATTATGATTCAAATTCATTCATCAATAGTGCACCCACACCATGACTTGTAAACTGAAAAAAAAACATTAATAAATGAATAGTAAAAAAGTATATTTAAAATTTATTTTAATGCGCAAAGAGAAGAAAATAAACATATGAAAACACAATTTTAGTCATTTTTTATACTAATAAAATATAGTCACAAAACACAATAATGTCATTAAATAATGTTAAAATCAATTTAAAATGCTGTTTTATTATTAGCACTTTACGTTATAGATTAAATCAGCCTGAATACCCAAGATAAGGCATCTTAGATACACCTAAGATAAGTGAAAAAATATTTGAATGTTTAGTATTATTTAATTATTAGTATTATCAATGTAATAAAATGATAAAAGTTGAACATAATTTTATTCTAGCGTTTTCATTTCATTACAATATGCTTATAAATTTTAGTCTCCGTATAACTCTACTATAATGAAAAATATACCAGAGTTTAGAATTAATGAAAATATATGCAAATATAATGTAAAGTTTCATCAAAGTCTGTTCATTAGTTTTTGCATGACAAAGTAACACGCAAACATACATACATTATTACATCTTTTCAAACTTAATACTAAATAATAACTTCTCAAACCAAATATTAGTAGGAAATACTGACATAAAAGAAGAGAAATAAAATGTACTTCTTTACCTTTAGGGTTACAATTATTATTAACCTTAAAGAAATCTTAACTTGACATTAAATTAGATCATATTATGTGTGACTTATAAGTGTATCAGAATTTAAAATATTTCTCAACTTGACTTTGGAGGAATCGCGCAAATGAACACATCTATTGGATTTTATTGATTGAAACTATCATGGAAAACCATGGGTAGAATTCTAATCATGATATTTTACTATACTGTGTTATGCCAGTGCCTCCTCTATTGATAACTTCATTATGAGGCGCATTCGAGGTCTGAGCAGATTTTACTTGAGAAACCCAAACATTATAACCACACGAGTTCATTTACTTTTCTGTTAAAACTATCTACAGTGCATATACGTATATGTAAGTAGGAACATGCAGAGAAAATACTTTTGAGCATAAGAAATGTTATATGTATATTGTAATTAGACAATTTTGGACAAATTATATCTATCTATACAAAAAAAAAGATATATATTTATGTATGGTTAGGATTACGGTTTGGGAGGTCTCGACATTTTCAAAGTCCCGGGACACGGGACCGCTCACGATCAAAGTCCAGGGACGTCCCGCGACTTCAAGACTTCTCAAATAAAATTAGATTCGAGTTAATTTTTGGCGAAATGGGTCATTAAAAAAAGCAATTTTAGTAAAACTGATCATTTCAAATTCTAACATCTATAATGTTAATTAAAGTCTAAACTATTCGTGCATTCGTTGTGTACAGTAGAGCTACCGATACTAAATTCGGTGTCATTTATTTAGAATTCTGGCGTTTGGATACGAGGGATAATACAGATAGATCAAAAAGTCTGCAATAAAGTTCCACAAAAGTAGTAGGTAAGTGTAGTTTTACACAAATTCGTAGTAAAACAGTGTCTCTTTTATTATGATAATTGAAATCTCAACTGTCTAGTAAGTCTGGATTTAAAATATAGATTTAGGTATAAGAGCTTAGAGCTAATACTTAGTAGTTGCGAAGTGAGCGCGTCCGCAAAGGTGTCGGAAGAAAGTAGTTTAGAGCACTAGAGTATACGACAAATTTTCTTTAAGTAATTTTGAATTTCTATACTAAATATGCCAGAAATATAGTAAATATGTAGTAATATATTAACACTAGCAGAACCCGTGGCTTCGCTCGTGCTAAAACTACAAAAAAAGCTCTAAAAAGGTAGGTTTCTTAAAAACTTTCATCCCCTATTTTACCCTCTTATGGGTTGAATTTTGGAAAACGCTGAAATACTCATTATTTTTGCCTACTCATTTCATGCGAAATTTCATGCAAATATATAAAAGGAATAAAAAGTTTCATACAAAATTTTATCCCCTATTTCACCTCCTTGGGGGTTAAATTTTGAAAAATTCTTCCTTAGTGGATGCCTATGTCATAAGAGAAATACGTTTGCGAAATTTAATTTCTTGCCCTAAGGGCTTGGGTGTGAGGAAACCTATATGTCTGAGAAAACCAAGTAAGTTTTCGATAGACATGTGAAGTCTACCAACCCGCACTTGGCCAGTGTGATGGACTATGGCCTGATGCCCCGATTCCCTTCCTATTAAAGGAAGGCCCGTGCCCAGCAGTGAAACGTTAAAAATGAATACAATCAAAGTAAACGCTGGCTAAACCTTAAAAATAACATCAAAACAATGTACTATAATAATCTTGTAGGTCTTAAAAAACCTACAGAAAAGTCAACAATGGCATAAGTCTACAGTATATTCCCAAGGTACACCACTATCAATAACTATTTTTACCTGTTTAAAACGTACCTAGAGACGTATACAAGCAAAGTTGTGTGTATATATATAATATAGACCCAAAAACAATAGTTATTAAAAATTTTATCTGTTTGTCTGTGTACATTTCATGCAAAAAGTACTAAACGGATTTTAAATAAATTATCTGTAGTGACAGCTTATTACTACGGTCAACATTTAATATACCTTTTACTACAGGAAAATCTCTCATCCCCACGGGAAACACATTAACTTCTTCGGCCGAGTTCTCCGTCATATTTTTTTTATGATTGAACTATTAGTAGCAGTGTTAAAAATTAACATGTTTAACAATTTAGTGCGGTCTTTTTCATGGTGAAATACAAAATTTAGTTTAGGCACAAGTCACTCATCTACATACATATATCTTCCTTACATTATATATCTTTGGTCTATGATATATCAATAGCTGATATATTTTCTATATCTATACATATAATAAAATTGTAACTAAGCCGAATCTGTACATTAAATATTTTTAGGAAAATCTTATTGAAATAGACATTATTATCGATACAGAGGCCGAATCTATAGTTTTTAGAATTTTTGTCTGTCTGTCTTTCTGTCTGTCTGTTACCGCATTACAGAAAAACTACTGGAGGGATTTTAATGAAATTTGGTATGGTGATAGCTGGTTACCCGGGTCAACATGTAGGATACTTTTTACTGTGGGAAAATGTCTCATTTCTAAGAAAAAATACAAAAACTGCAATTTAAGAGTATGTATTCAGCCCTTTTTGACGTCCCATTGCTGGCCACGGGCCTCCCTTCAATACGAGGGGGATCAGGCCATAGTCCACCACGCTGGCCAAGTGCGGGTTGGCGGATTTCACATGTCTTTCGAAAACTTGCTAGGTTCTCTCAGAAATGCAGGTTTCCTCACGATGTTTTCCTTCACCGTAAGGCAAGTAGTAATCATGTTAGAAATGATTCGCACATGAAAATATCAGAGGTGCGAGACCCGGGATTTGAACCCGTTTCACTCGGTTTCCCAAGCGAGCGCGTTAACCCCTGGGCTACCACTGCCTATGTAAGAGTATATTAATATGTAAGACCTAAGAATTTGGTTTTTTATCATTTGAACGCGGGCGGAGCCGCGGGCAATGCTAGTCTACGTATATATAGTATAAACTGAAGTCACTGCCTGCCTGCCTCTGTCATTTTCTCCACTTACTTCTTCTAAACCACTCAACGGAGTTTGATAAGACTTTCTTTGATAGAAAGAGCGATAAACGAGGAAGATTTTTGGTTAAAATTTGTAAATGTTTTATACAAAGTGGCTGAATTTTGACAGTGTTTTGTTAGAAAACCTTTTTTCGTATGCCTATATGACTGACGCTGGCTAAACATTAAGAAATAAGTATGTATGTACGTCAAAACATTGCACTAGATATTTTTAGGCCTTAAAAACGCCTACAGAAAAGTTTCCGATAGTATGTGTGTCTCTCTGTCTAAGCTAAAATCATAATACCTATTTGTTTTTTTAATGTACCTAGGGACGGACCGATCGAAGCGAGTGTACATAAGTCGCTAGTTCCAAAATAAAATATGAATATATTAAGCACCCATTATTTACATTCACTAAATAGCAGTAGCGACTTATCGCTTGTAGATATAAAAATTTGTAATTACACTTCTTAAGTTCAAGAGTGCTTCGAAAATAGCTAACTTTTGGCAAGCTTAACGAAATTTAAGTTTTCTTTAGCCAGGAACACAGTTCAAAACTACAACTTAACTGAAAGTCTAGCGCAGGTAGCAGTAATTGCTCTAGTAAATACAGTGCGGAGTGGTGTATACAACTTAGAGTTATGATTAAACTTCCGCTTGCTGACATATGGGTGAAGCAATGGGTGCCACATGCTGTGTATGCTCGACCGCTCCGATATTACGCGCTCCGAGTATGTTTGCCATTTGCAAATACATAGAAATTGTTGGAAAACTTATAAAGAAAAATATTAAAATATTTAATTTAACTTTCTTAAAATATTTACACACAGTAGATAATTCCGTTTTAAATAAAACTATCTTTTCGGTTTATTTCACGGATTAACTTTGATTTTTGGTTCCCGACCGAAATAAATAATATTCCATATTCAATTATAAAACTAATTAAAATTATAAACATGTTTAAGTTATAAAATATTGTAAGGTACTTTGGTGCAATTTTTCATTTTGTTAATTGTGGGTAGGCTGTCTGTAACAACTATACCTTCGAGACATCTAACACCTCAGTCTCTCCCGTGACCATGATTGCTGTAAAAAATCAAAATAAATCCGCGAAATAATCCCAAAAGATAGTTTTATTTAAAATGTCAAATATTCGCGTAAATCTAAGAAAGTATTAGATAATTCCGTTTAAAATTGCATATTATACAAATATTTATTGATAACAAAAATTTAAAATAATTAAATGATATGAACGTAGATACAAATACATCATACACTCAAATACGATAAACATAATACAAACAGACTGTATTATAATATTTCAATGTGCAGAAATTCGAGAGATAAACCCTATTTCGTGACAGTACAATATTTCTATTTCTGTGTATTCTCGAAAAGACCCAATGTCGTGAATAAGTTAGAAGAAAAATGTGGTTTGAACAAATTTTTTGAGGCACCATTTCACCTGAAACTTTTTCTTTTAGAGAGGTTTTATCTTAAAAGCAAAAGCGGTAACCTTTTTCAGAACGTCTGACATAAGTTTAACAAAGTACAAAAAAGTCGTCGTTCCACTCTTATGAACTGGCACTGTAGTATTTTAGTAAAAATAATGTTTATGTTATATGAATATTTCAATAATGTTTATGTCGTTGCGAGCAATTCAATATATAACAACCTCTGCCATAAAAAGAAAATATTACAGAATAAAGAAAACTTTATACGTTTAAAGAAACTGAATAGAATGTTTTAAAAAAATACACAGGCAGCCATCGTAAGCTTTTAGCGCAATTAGATAAAAATATTTTAAAATTTTATAGACTTGTCCTATTAAATATTCTCGTAGCACACAATAAAATATGTATTTAGCCAAATTAAATCAACTTAACACAGAAAAATAACATAATACAATTATCATCTATACATATAATAAAATGGTAACTTAGTGGAATCTGTACATTAAATATTTTTTGGAAAATCTAATTGAAATACATATCATTATCGATAGAAAGGCCGAATCTGTAGTTTTTAGAATTTTTGTATGTCTGTCGGTCTGTTACCGCATCACGAGAAAACCATTGGACAGATTTTGATAAAATTTTGTATGATGACAGCTGGTTATCCAGGTCAACAAATAGGTAATTTTTTACCGCGGGAAAATATCTCATTTTTGAGAAAAAATACAAAAACTGCAATGAAAGAGTAAACGCGGGCGGAGCCGCGGGCAATGCTAGTATTTAAATACGACAATACATGCAGTGGTTCTGTAAAGCTTTAATTAGCCATATCATTTAGTGTTTGCGGGTACGAGACCGAGTACGATGCGGCAAGCGATGTGCCGGTGCTCGCCGGTTTTTGGGTTAAGAGTAATTTAAACATACTTTATGTGAATGTGATAATTATATCGCCATGTGAATATAATAGGTAGTTCATTTACGACGTCATAGAAAAATGAGGAAAACAAAAGCATTGTTAATTTTAGCATTTTTTTTGTTTTAAGGTCATAGTGTAGATGAATAAAATTGTAATTTAACAATTAAAGATTATAATGATGATGTTCTCCTAGCCGATTCCGGCCACGGCGGCCAATCTCAATGAGATTAGCTAACTGCGCAGGAGATATTATAGTGCTCAAGTGTACGCGCAGACACAAGTGCACTCTCTATTCCTATCACTCTCATACTCCGGTGGAACGACCACTCGACACGACCGGTGAGAGTTAAGGCGCAGGACCGACGGCTTTACGTGCTCTCCGAGGCACGGGGGTGAAACACCGCCAACTTCCCAACTCCGGGCTGTTACTGAGACTTACTATACAGAACGACTCAATAACTAAACTTGGCCCGACCCGGGACTCGAACCCAGGACCTCCGGGTGTGCAGCCGTACATGCTAGCCACTACACCACCGAGGCAGGTTAAGTAGATAATTAAAGATTATAATACTAAACATACGAATATTTAACGTATTCACAATTTTAATAAATACTTACTGTTGTATATTATAAGAGGGTAATTACATAGTATATAAGTAAGAGTTAAGTATTAGTATGCTTTGTATGTAGGTAGTACTGACAGTTGTAAAATAAACGCAATACATAACGGACGTGTTCTTATTTAGCAGTGGCGACGAGGATTAAAAAAGTTAAAAAAAATGGTGTTTGGACAATTGCAAGAGTTTGACTTGAAGAATGGGAGCTGGGCAGCGTATAGTGAAAGAATGGAGATGTATTTACTTGCCAATAAAGTTGAAGAAGATTTAAAGTTAGCAACGTTAATAACGGTCATGGGGGAGGAGGCATATCAACTTTTGTCGACACTGGCGAGTCCAAAAGCACAAGCTATATTAATTACCATATAAACATGATATTTCATCATGACACATCATGAAGTTATAGTGTTACTATTGGCGAGTTTTTCCGTGTACATGATGAAGATTTAGTTATTAAATATTATAATCAAAAAGGTAAGATCAAGAATAGGGGTAATTTTATAAGCCGTATAGACAAGGATCATAATATGAAATAAATTAACATTATGTAAATAATCTGTAGATATTTAAAACCAAACAAAAAATAAACATGGCACATGGCTTAACTCCAAAGTTTATTTAAAAATGATAAATAAAACTGTTATTTTTAAGACTAATCGTATAAATCAGTATGTTATAGTTATATATATGTACGGTATACAAGTTTGCCAAAAGTAGAAATCACCTCAACGGAACTAGCAAGAAATTCGACCCTCGTATTGCTTGTCGTCTTGTATGAACGGCTCGCTCCAAATACGAACTAAGTAATATTAGTTTATCCAAGTTCCTTATTTTTGGCACTTTTTATTTTTTATTAGCAAACATTTTATAAGAATTGGAATTGAAAAAAAACCTAAAATAATTGAAATTAAATCTTCCATGTGGAACAATAGTATATATATTGTTCGCATTTAGTGTTTTATGCACACTGTTCACACATGAGGGTATGCGCGGATTGCGAATCTCTTGTGCCGTGAATAAAAACTTTCTGAGTCGTAAAAGTATATGAGTTCGTCCCAATACTGCGCCGATGACTTCCAATCTCTCTGTAGCGTGTCCCGACCCAACCCTGAAGATTACTTTTTCTCCCTCATCCAGTAAATTGAATTAAAATGAGAAGCAAAAGGATAAAGAAAAGGGTGTGCAAGTCAATTTTCGCGATTAGCATGCTGTTCTATGCGGACGAGTATTTTATCTTTCGAGTATTTAGAAAAAACTTTACTATTCTATTTACATACTCTTATATATATATATATATATATACACTTGTTAATGAATTGTAAAGTTCTATAGTATGCGGTTAGTTATTTATAACTCAAGTCGTAAGATTCTATACCGTAACAAATATATGTAAAACGTAATCTTATTAGCAGTATCTAGCAGCTATCAAACGTTTGTACCGAATTTTCACCCAGTGCTTTTGCATGCATTTACTTAAAGTATCATTTGCCCGAGGCTCCACGCGCCTAATTTAATGCGAAAAAATATTTGATATTGGACTGGTAGCTTCACAGTTAGTGCGATCAAACAAACAAAACCCAAACATAACACTAAACTTTTCAGCTTTACACATATATGTATACTCTAATTTTACTGACTTTTCTGAATAAAAAATAAACAAAGAGAGATAAAAAAAAAGATATTTTTCTCTCTCAAATTATGAAATCCTAGCAACAAAGCGTCGCAGCCACATTTTACGACATTATAAGGCCGCGAGATAGCGGGGGTTGGGCGTTGCTCAACTAGATAGTATCCCCTATCCGACCGCCTTAGAATAACGTAGAGTCACCGTAGCGCTGTGCAATACAATTAAATAGTAAGTACTTCGAATACTTGCCAACTTATTCTTTGGAGGATAAATTATATGAATCCTATTATTTTCCCATATATATATATTTGGACATAATATTTTTTTATCTACATTTTAAAGAAATTTAAGGAAGATTTTCTTATTGTTTTGTGGCATGATGAAGTCATCCTCGACTTTATCTGTTCTACTGAGCACTAACAACGAGCTCGTCCAATGAAAATAATAATAAAAATAGAATTGTACTTACATTTTCACAAACAAAATATAAAACACTAATGAGTAATGTCTACGAACACCACAATATATTTTCACCTGAACTTAGTCATACGCTCGTTAGACAACTGCCATTAATTAAAATGTTTAATGTATGCATTTTAATACGTGCTTCAGAGTAGTCTAGACGATATACTACTTCATTAAAGCATATTTGATCTCCCCTTCCGTTTCCTGAGGGGAGGTTTCTCTATTACGTGGTTTTTCTCTTTGACTGATAAACATTAAAAATCGCAAACGAAAGCTTTCGTGTCAAATTCGGCCTTTGAAACTTAGATTAATTCTACTTTGAATATTGAAAACGTCTTCGTTTAAGTAAAAAAGGATAAAATTTAAAAACATTAAAATTAATTTAATTTAAATAGTTTTACTATAAATATTATCACCTTATTAAAATTATAATATTTTTTTGTTTCATTTTATTTAACGATAAAAATTTAAAGCAATTCAATATTTTAAATAACAAATTTAACGAGTAACGAGATTTCTCAAAAACATAATCAAATATGAATATTTGAATTAATCAAAAACGAAAAAAACAATAAAGTTCCAAGATTTACGTAGCTCATAGATAAACGAGCTTGTAGCAACATTTGGGGATTTATTTGTTTGTGTCGGCGAACTACGAGATTCTCTTAAAGTAGCAAGATTCCGTATTTTACATCTCATTTGCCCACAAATAGTCCTGGGTGCTTGGTTTTATTGTTACAAACAAACTTAGTAATTTCATTCAGAACTACAAGTGCTATTTTAACAATGACTAAACAAAACTAAATATTTAATATGTAAACAGGTTAATAAAAGTGTGAAATTTATACAGAAGCAGAGGTTTTTTTATAATAAATCCTTTATTTCAAAATAAAAGCTTGTAAATAGGTTCATTAAAGGTTTCATACCTTTAATGTAATAGAATTTTTTTGTTAATAGCTCATTTTACATATGCAAATATAAAAAGCTTTCCTATATGTTTAGATGATGTTAAACTATGGTGATGTATTAAGAATGATGGTCTTCTAAATTGCGTGAAATGCCTCTACGTATACGTGAAAGTCAAAAACTATTAATTTGTACCCAATATTTTTGTATAGTAAAAAATAAATAAAGAAAGAAAAGTTGCCAAGTAACTTAATCGAAAAATTATATTTTACTCACTGAAATAACTTTTCTACTCTATATAGCAACATTATTAATAAATATTAAATTAAAAAAATATTATCATTAATATTAATAATAATAAAAAATATTATAATAATAAGAAAAATATCTATAGACATATACAACCAGCTTTTTCCGGGGCTCCACTAACATGTAAACTATCAATAAAACATAGCCTATGTGTTTGTCTATGATATGATATCTCGAACCAATCTACCGTGCTGCAAAAGCGCAAAGAAGTAGCAAACATTCATTCACATACCCATACTAGCATTTATAACAAAATGATATTTTATATCTATAAACAACACAGACGACGTCGGAGTCACCACTTGTATATTAATATCCTATGTACCAGCAATAACTTGGCCGTAGGTTACAGCAAGCCATTTCCGCGGACAATCGTAATACCAGCACTCACTTCCCGTTCGGTATTAGTAGCTCGGGGTGGGCGTTTGTTTGATACGGTCGCTGCTGACAAGGACCGCTGACTTGTATGTTGGTAACACGCGAATGTGTTTTTGTCTATTAATACTCAACAAGATTTTGTTCTTACCTACGCAAAGAAAATAAATTTTGTTTTTTGTTGAAAAGTCGCAATGTTAGCGTTATCGTAAAGTAGTTCATTCATAACAAAAAAAGAGAAATTATATGATATAACTAAGTTTATTTATTTTTCAATAAATGTAATGTTTTGTATATAAACTAGCATTGCCCGTGGCTCCGCCCGCGTTCAGATGACCAAAAACCAAATTCTTAGGTTTTACATGTACTCGTACATTGCAAATTTTGTATTTTTTTATCTCAGAAATGAGATCTTTTCCCAGGGTAAAAAGTATTCTATATGTTGACCCGGATAACCAGCTATCACCATACCAAATTTCATCAAAATCGCTCAAGTGGTTTTTCTGTGATGCAGTAACAGTCAGACAGACAGCGCTTTCCAACGCTGATTGTAGTCAAGCGCAAGCGTTCAATAAAAAAAAAGGACAGATAAAATTTCTAAAAACTATAGATTCAACCTCTGTATCGATAATAATATCTATTTCAATAAGATTTTCCAATAAATATTTAATGTACAGATTCGGCTTAGTTACAATTTTACTATACAATTATGTATAAATTATGTATATGTACATTTCAAAGTCAAAGTCAATGGAGAGATTTGTACACAGAATATTTTTTAAACAAAGCTATCACCACTATCGCGCAGAAGATCTTCGTTTTCTCAGAATTATGTTACCTCGAGTTCTAAGTGCTAACTGTGTCAAACTGTATTAAGAACTATGTCATATTACCTGCATGCTACATAATATTAAAATTCTCACGCATACTTTTGTAGCCTAACTTGACCTGATTATTGATTATAGTAATACTAGCGGACCCGACAGACGTTGTCCTGTCTACACGTCTTTAATTTGAAAATTTCAAACTTTTTTTAATAATTTTTTTGATGAAAATTATTATTCAAATTGTGAATCTAAACCATTCCCAGATCCCCTTGAACACACACAAAAATTTCATCAAAATCGGTCCAGTCGTTTGAGAGAAGTTCAGTGACATACACACTCACAGAAGAATTATATATATAAAGATTACAGTAAAATCCAGCTAAATAAATCTAGTTTACGTTTACTCTAGAATTTCAATATAAATTCCATCCAATTTTCCACAAAAACTCAGAACAGCTAACAGAAAATTTCTTTTTATTAAAATTTTGTTACACAATTACCTACTATTTTAAGCCCCTGTAAAATAATTCAATCGTATAAGCAGATTGAAGAAAAATAGTTCTTTAGAGTTAACGAGCGTGTAATATTATTTTGAATAATCTTTAAATTTTCAATTATCCACAAACGAAAATTCAGATAAAAAATTACGCCTATACATAAAATGGTATATTTAATTATAATAACATACTTTCATAATGTAAAAGCTAACTAGAAACATTAGACAAACACCAATGTAATATGAAAAATTCTTTATTCTCCAATAAAAAAGAGCTTACCACGACGCAATGATAAAAGTACGTATTATCGAGGTCGTTTTTCTTAATGATACTGATAAATGAAGAAGAATATGATTGGAC